GGGGGGGGGGGGGGGGCGAGCATTTTTACGCCGCGCTACGTAGACACGTCGCGCATAAATGTTGCTGCATATTCCGAGCGCGCGGGATAAATCGCGCCGCGTGACAAGGGAATGCAAAAACTTTCGCTGTCCCGGTGCTCTCGATACAAAAGCGATACCGTCGACGTCGCCGCTCGCGTCGGAATTGTTTCGAGCACTTTACAAGAACGGCGAACTTTTCGAGGGCTCGCAGAGCACGCGCGCTAGAGAGAGAGAGAGAGAGATCCCTCCGTGCCATCGCGCTGCCTGTTGTTACCTCGATAAATTTCAAATACGCTCGAGTGCTCGCGGAACGCGCACGAACGAGAGGCGCGCCCGCCAAGCCGAGAGGTGAGGGGAACGATCGCGGTTTTCTCCGAGTCCTCGGCGAATATTTTGAACCACAAATTAACCGGACCGCTCGACGCTGCTGCGATTGTCCGGCTTAACCGATCCCTAAATCGAACCGAAGTTCTGAGAGTTCTCGGAATGTCTGGCAGTCTTGAAACTTACGTAGCACTGTGAACTGGAATCGCCGCGTTTTTGGATTACTTTCATTGTAAAGTGGATCGTACGTTTCAACAGAGAACTTGGTGATGAACAATGGATATTACACAGGGTATTATTTGACACAACGCGTACACTGAGAGAAATCATTGTTGTTTTCGGTGCCAAATTATCTTTTTACAGCTTTAACCACCGAAATAGTAGCAACAACATGCACATAAGATTATTATCACTAACATTATAGTTAACGTTTCCTAGAAAATTGATTTTCCTGATTGTAATTCATTTACTATGATGATTAGAGTTACAAATACCAAATATTCTTCTTTCAGTACATATATTCGCTCGAATCGAATTGGAAACTCGTCGACACTGGAAAGTCCTTTATCATTCCGCAAGCAACTGTGATATTCATTAAGGGATTAATTAAAGAAAATTCGCGAATAAGTGTGCTCGATGTGGTGAGACGGGCTCTTTAGGCGAAGCCTCATCCGAGATGTCTGAATCTGTTGACAATCTCTCAGCATGATGTTGCATAATGTTGAACCGTATACTTTCACGATCCGGCCTAAACAGCTCGTCCCACGTGCGTCCTACGTGCACTTATTCGTTAATGCTTTTTTAATTAACGTCTCGATAATCGTCATAGTTGTTTACAAAATGGACCTTTCCGTTCAGTTTTACGAGTTCCACCCACGCACGAGCGGATGTGCGCCGGACACCCTGTGCACGAGATCAATCTCTATCCAGAATGACACGCAGGATATGTAATTTCACAATCGCGCTACGTACTCGCCCGAGTATGCGTACACGCCCAAAACTGCGATTGCCCGTTAAGAGCAGCGAGTACAATCCCAAATTCAATCTACGTTAAAGCGATTATCACCTTTACAGGTCAATCTTGATTACTCCTGTATTATTAACTGAAACTTACCCTCAGAGCGCGTCTGGGTCGGATCCTGAAAGCCGCTTCAGGATCTGAAACAAGAAGAAACAACGGCCGGGCTTAGGGACGTGATATCGTGAGAGTCGCATTAGAACTTTTGCAATTTACAGTCTGGAAAATCCCCGTAAGAGCGATCGCGTGACCGGAAGAAGAGGAAGGGTAGGTACGAGGCTGGCGGAAGTAGCCGAGCACAAAGGCAAGGGTGCAGGACGGCGTTCCATGGTGTCGGGGTGGGTCTCCAACCCGGGGAAAAGAAGGGGTGGAAACGCTATAGGACGAGGGAGGACGGAGAGAAACGAGGAAGAAAGAGAGAGGGAGAAAGAGAGAGAGAGAGAAGGAAAAAAAAGAAGACTTCGGCGTGAAAATCCTTGGACTCTCCTCTCTTCGATTTCGCAATCTGGTTATACGGGGACTTAATCGAAAAAAGATCGCGGATTTCCTCCGCTTCGTGCGATCGAATCGTGCGGATTGCGAATAGAATTGCGAATGGATAATCGGCACTCGACAGTGTAATCGACCTTAGTCGATCGGCTACGTTAACCTGATTTATGAAGCGAGTAATCTCACCGAAAATAAACGCTGAATATGTACGGAGGAGGGTTGCTGCAAAATGCACGCACGCGAATTGATAGTTTCGATTCAATTTCCGGGCTTCCCGGGCTCTCCGTTGCTTTCGTCTTCTCGCGATTTGCGCGCCTGAAATATCGCTTTGTTCGCCCCGTCGAGAAAAGAAGGAAGAATTCACTCTCAGATTTCCGAATTAAGCTTCACATTTCGGGCGGTCGGAAGGCGCGGTTATTGACTTCTTAAGAAGCCGGTGGTCGCGCGACACACAAGCGCGTGTTCCATTTTATTCACCGCCGAATGCCGCCGCGACGGTGGCCGCTACGAAGAAATCGGTGCAAAATCCTCGACGGCATTCCGGGGGGTTACCGCGCGCATTAAGCGGCGTTTCTTTCGGCAGGGCTGAAGTACGTAAGAGGCGAGGAAGAAGGATGACGGGGGAGAGGAGGGGCGGTCGATACACTTGTCACGGGCAGGCTATGTTTGGTCGTTAGGAGGGAAAAAAAGGCGGAAAACGAGCGAGAATGCGGTAGAGCAAAGCTCTGGATATTCAGGCGAAAACTGTGTCGAGAAGGGATAGAGTCGCAGTAAAGGTGGAAAATGGAGGACTTGAAAGGTGGAATTTTTGCCCCTCTCTCTCTCTCTCTCTCTCGATCGCTCACTCTCCTTTATTTTTCTGCCTGCCTCGCGCCCGATGTAGACGGTCCCCACTTAATCCCATATGTATACACACGCGCGCGAAATAAATCTGATTAAATAATGTGTGCTGGTGAATAATTATCGGGTATTTTTACGCTGCCGTCCAAGATGTTCAAGTGCCGCGTATATATAGCGCAACCGTTATTCCCTCGTGCATTAATGTATATTTTTCCGATAGAAAAATAGTCGCAAAGAGAGAGAGAGAGGGAAAGAAAGAGAGTCCACCCGATAATAAAATAATTCACGTCGCCGCCATTCGCGAGTATCGATCTGTTTAGGGAGGAGAACTCGGTCACGAAGCTCCGTAAATCGCGCCGTCGTAGATTATTCGCTCGGAATCGTTCGCTGAATTTCGCGGAATATTCGGTTGCTGGAAATAAATGCCGCGCGTTCGCGGGCACGACACACAGAGAGACACACACATACACACAGCAGCCCGGGCGGTTCCGTCGCCCGGGAAGCGTTTCCGGCAGGGAAATGCTAACCGTAAATTGTTAAATAGCTACACTTAACGAACCTGCCAGCCGGGCATAAAGAAAACCAATATATTTTACGGGTCTGTAAAATTTGCGCACGCGCGCGCGCGAGTAAGAAGAAGTGAGAGGAAGAAAGAGGGAGTTTGTTGATGTGGAACTGCCTGCACGTGAAATCCATCCTACGTGCCGACGTTCTCGCGTGCAACACTTAAAGCTGCCCGCGATTCACTATACCGAAGGTATAAACACTTTGGCGGTATTACTCGTTGTTGAAAATGTCACGTCGAATAGCGTGACGCGACACCATACTTAACACGTTGACTATCTCGGGGGTTTTCGCAAAATTTTACCGTCGCCGCTAAATTTTCCTTCTCGTAATTATAACATGTGGAATAATGCATCGAACGCGTGTATAGCGCGCGTAAAAAACAGAGAAAAATTATTCCGCGGTTGTTAGCGAAACCATAGTTGCGACAGCAATAAAATATCGTTAGTACAACCAAATTAGCAAGTTATTCGTAATTAGAGCAGAAACACCGGTTTCTGTTACCGGAATAGAAAATATTCTGCCGAATGAATTTGTTTGTAGTATAAATTCATTCGCTGCTAGGACAAACAGTGTTTTCCTACATCTGTTAGTGTGCCATTGTAGCAAAATAATTTGTAGATTCAGCGGAATAATCCCGCGAATGGCGATTAGTGCTCCTTAACAAATCGTTCAGCTGGCTAATGATAACTGAGATTTTTTACTGTGACAACGTAGCCTTCTGCGCTGATAAATTATTTTCCCTTCGCGCACGTAATACGCAGCGTTTTAAGGATAAGATTGTGTATGTATCACAGTGATACCGGCGCCTCCAGAAGTGTTAACGTATCACGTAATACATGGCAGTGAAAGTGTTAAACACAGCGCGCTTTTTCCGCATTTATTTGCATATTCAACCGAAATTTGGATCTCTTCGAGATTTAATCATCCCGAATATTCAACGACCGGGGGAATAAACCGAAGAGTTATGACGGACGGAGAGGGAAAAACGCGCAGCGTTCGTACGTCGAGTAATGGCCGATTTACAGCTGATAAACAACAAATTAATGAATGTTGCAGCGCGCGCCCACCAACCACCGCCAACGAGAGATCGTTCCGCGCGGAATAACGTTAAAGTACGAACTTTTCGCGCGCGAGAAAGGAGCGAAACTCTCGCGCGCCTGCGCGCGTCCTTGTTAAAAATAGTTTCATCGAAGCGCTAATGTGATTGCGAATGTTTGGAATAGCTCGCATAGTTCATCATAAATGTCACGTCTGTATTTTATAAATGCGCTCGCGAGCCGGGGCGACGAGCCCGCGGACGTGACTTTAGTTTAGAATTCCGCCAACTCTATCCAACTCTCATTTGCACCGAGAGTACACTGAAACTGCAACGGGGCGCGATGCTTTCTTTTGAAATTCATGCGATGCCTGGTTAATCGAACGCGAACTACGACGCGCTGCTGGCTATTAAACTTTATAAGACTGCTACTCGCAATTGCTGCAAAAGCAAACGTCCGCCGTAATTTAACTAGGAATCGGCGCCCCATTCGACTCTCTCTCTCTCCTTCTACCTATCTCTTTCTTTCCCACTCACCGTGATGCACCAAATGTACGTTCTCGGAACGACTCCCTCCCCCCCGTTAAATTGAACTCTCACCTAAGTCTTATTAAAAATAAACACATTTTTTCTCGAGATTTCGTCCCCTCGTCATTGATCCGTCCTCGACACCTCTCTTGTAATCCGTACGAGCATCCAGCGAGAGAGATTCTCATTTGCATCCGCCCCTCCTACCGTCAACATAATCCTCAAACTCACCAGCTCTTTCATCCCTTTCCTTCTCTCTCTCTCTCTCTCTCTCTCTTCCATCCTGCCCTCTTCTTGCACGACCTTCCTCATGTAATATCGTGAAAAGAGAAAGATAGAGATAGAGAGAGAAAGGGCACCCTCTCGCAGGCCAACCACCCTCTCTCGACGCGACACGTCGAAATTGGCCTAAGCTCGTAGGCAGAGGAGGTTGAAGGCTGGAGGTGATCTGCCTCAGGGGCGTAATGTTCCCTCGAAATCGCCGAGAGATCTAGGAAACTGCGGATCCGAATCTAATCGTCCGCCCGTTCGCCCGACCGCCCGTGTTACGTGAGAAATGTCTCCGAGGAGCTACAAGATTCGACGAGGGAACTTCTGGTCGTGCCGCTCCATTATTGGCCGAACAGGTGAAACTCCCGTCTATTGTTCGCCTCGAAATCCGAAAAGTTCCGGTGCACCGACGAAAAATCTCAGAAGCTGATCTCTCGACGGAGGGGAACTAATACTAACGCGGATAGTCGCGGTGGACGTTAATCATTCGTGAGGTTCGATCACACGGGCGATCGGAGAACCGAACCGTTTCCGTCCAAGTCCGGACGGATGAGACGGAACGACGGCGACGACGACGCGCGTGGCGAGCAACTCTAAATCGTTCGTCAATACGCGCCGAAGAGTTGGCTGACGCATCGGTGTCGTCGTGGTCGCCGTCGTCGCCGCCGCCGGGCGGTATCGACAAAAGCAGTCGCTGCTAACTTTAGCGGCGACGAGGAGCAGCGTCGGTGACGTTGTATCGCTGCGCGGGTGCGTCAGAGTGCGCGAGAATCGACGTTCTACAAGTCCGTGTGACGGGACGGGGGTTCTAATTTTAGATAAATCCATTCGCCAGCCAATATCAATCTAAACTCATCCGTCGTGCAAAGGGGGATTGTGTGCGAGGGCGCACGACGGCTCTCTCTCTCTCTCTCTCTCTTTCTCTCTTCTCCGCTCACCTCGTCCACCTGAAGCCTCGCTCGTCGCGTGCGCACACGCGCACACACCGACGCGCGTGGCCGTCTCTCGTGTTTACACGAGATCTTCATGCGGGGAGAGTCGGCTGTATGAACATCGAATCGCGCTCGGCAGAAAATCGATGTCCCTCTCGGTACCAGGCTCGGCGCTGAGCGCGCGAGTTCCGCGCGGAGGAAAGGAAGTTCGGACTGTTGCGGGAAGTAGGTAGGTAGGTAGGTATGCATTAATGTATGCACTTGGACCGCGTGCGTGCAGGTGTACGTAATTTCATTCGGTAATCACCGGCCCCCATAAACAGATGGTCGGAATTTGCGGGCCGTAGTTCGGACCGGAATCGATTAGCTCGTTGGAAGTTTTGCGCGCGCGCGCGTATGTGTGTGTGTGTGTGTGTACGTGTGTTGCACTGTCAGCATCTGTCGTTTCGGATTATGACGGTAATTTCGCTCGTATTCC